GGCCATTTTTTGGTTGCAGCCATCATTGTTGTTTGGCGGGCCCGGGCTGGGGATTCGAACCTGCCACCTTAGGTGTATGTGGCTGGTGCCTTGGCTGATTGAGCTACAGGCGCCGAGCCTCTATTTTTAGATTTTTAGAGATTTCTCTTTTTTATTTTATGACTTAAGTTAATTTTTTGAATAAGATATTTTATTTTTGCAAAGTCAAAACAATTTAGCAGGCTTGACTCAGTGGCTAATGCCTGTAGTCCTAGCCCTCTGGGAGGCTGAGGCAGGCAGATTGCTTGAGCTCAGGAGTTCAAGACCAATCTGAGCAAGAGTGAGACCCTGTCTCTACTAAAACAGAAGAAATTAGCTGGGTGTTATGGCAGGTACTGGTAGTCCCAGCTACGGGAGAAGCTGAGGCAGGAGGATCACTTCAGCGCAAGAGTTTGAGGTTGCTGTGAGCTTTGATGATGCCACAGCATTCAACCCCATGGTGACAGAGTGAGACGCTGTCTTAAAAAGAGAAGAAACACAAAACTTGATTTAGCAAGGTACATGTAGAGAAGTCTATTTTCATCCTTGACCCCTGTCCCTATGGATACATTTATTAGTTTATTTATACATGCAGTGTTCCTTTTGGAAGTATCAGTAACACACGCAGGCACGTTTGTATCCTCACCCTGTCTTGTCTAGTGTGTCCTGGAGATTACTTTAGATGGGTGTGTAAAGATCTTCCTTAGTTCTTCTGGGGATTCAGAGTGTTCTGTGATGTGATCATTTATTTCACCATCCCGACTGTGGACACTTGGGTTCTTTCTAGTATTTTGCTGATAATAAGTGATACTGAAAGGTGTACTTTGTACATAAATCCAGTTCATGTTTTTGCCAACCTGTCTTTGATTGCTGGACTGCTGGGTCAAAAGGTAAATGAATATGTAATTTTGGTAGAATTTATCACCAAATTCCCTTCGATAGCGCTCATATCATTTGCCTGGTATCAGTGTTGAAGAGAGGGCTCTTCCCCACAGCCTTGTCAAGAGAATCTGGGCAATCTTTTAGGATTTTTTTTAAATCTAAAAGGGGTTAGTCTATCTAAAAGGGAAGAAATATGTTAGTGTAGCCTTAATGGCACCTCTTTTATTGAGTGTGGTTGAGTTTTTTAAATATATTTAAGGTCCATTTAAATTTTTTTTTGTGTGTGAATTTTTCACCTTTTTTTTTTGCTGTAGGAAGTTTTAAAAAGTGCCTATTTCCTAGGCCCCACCTGGAACCTCAGATTAGAATCAGGGTCCTCCCCAGGGGATTCTTCTATACCAACCTGGTAGGGGAGTTAGATTTGGAGCCACTGTTATGGTGTTCTGAGCTAGGGGCTCCTAAAAAGCCAGAATCATTAAAAAAAATTTTTTTTATTATTATTTTTTTTCAGATAGAGTCTCAAACTGTCACCCTGGGTAGAGTGCTGTCGTGTCATAGCTCATAGCAACCTCAAAATCTTGGGTTTAAGCAATTCTCCTGCTCAGCCTCCCAAGTAATAAAAACAAATCTTTATTCAAAATAAGCCAGCTCTTTACTTACAGGGAAACTAGGAAAGTAAACTTCTCTCCTCATAGCTTCTACGTCAGAATGTTAATTTATAAAAGAAAAGATTTGTAGATGATCTGACTGAAATCTGGGGACTTTGACCTACAGTGTTTTTTCATCCCCCTGGAGCTGAGGGTCCATCTGCCTGAGGGACTGGTTGTCACCACTGCTCTCTACTCTTGTGCATTGTCACTGGCAAAAGCTGGGCTCACAGCATTTTCTGGGAGATGCTGCTGCTGTCTTTCCTGCCTTTCTTTCAAAATAACCTTCAGTGATGTTGGCATCTTGGTTTGGGGGAGCACCTGCTGTTTTTTTCTTCATGAGGGGACTGTATAGTCCTAGGGGCAGTGTTGGGGTCTTGACTGACAGGCATCTTTGGAGGGGCCCAGCTCTGCTCAGACCTGGAACCCCAGTGGTTTGCAGGATGGCTTTCATTCAGGGGGTGCTCCTGCCTTTCTGGTGCTGTCAGCATTCACCCCTTACCCAGCTGGACCAGAATCTGGCTCTTCTTCCCACTATTTTAAAATTTTTAATTCTTGGTGGCTCTTGAACTATTAGGATTTCATACTTTGATTTAGACCTTTCTTATTTTCATTCTTGAGACTTCATTTTGCTCAGTCACCCCCTTGTGTTGGTTTGGATTTTTGAGTAGGATGAACAATGCATTTCTCTTTGTTGAAGGAAGGATCCAAAGATTAAACTTCAGAGGATGATATTCTAAAATTTTTAGGATCTGCAACCCTCTTTAGATTTATCATGAAAGCAGCATTATTAGGGTCTGGTGACAGATCTGTAGATAGTCTGCTGAACAGCGTAAACTGTGGGTGTCTACAGTAACTCCCTTGTATGTGAAGGGGAGTTGGTACCAGTGTTATCAATTAAGATTCAGCTAGATTATTATTTTTTTTACTGTTACGTCACCCCTTGACAACCCTGCAGCTGGTTTTACCACTGCTCTTAGAAGAGAAATGTAGTCCAGGCAGAGTGGACAGGGTTCCAATTAGGTTGCTTTTCTATCTCTGATAAATCATTGGTCTCTGGACTCTGCACTTCAGGAAAATCCAACATAGAAAATTCAAACTCAGGTTTAGAGGTAGAGCCATTTTTTTCAATGATTCTGGACTTCCTGTCTGTCCCTTTATAAACTTCTGATTCCAAACTCTTCTCAGCATGAATAGATACCTGATGTGAGCCGTTAGCTGATTTTAGCTCAGATAATAGAGTTCCATCAGCCCTTTTGCTGTCAGTCTTTTGCTCATCATGCGTTTCTTTTTCTCATCACAGGGGTTTTTCCTTAAGTCAGAGCTTTGGTGGCCCTTGTAGCTCAAGCAGCTAAGGCATCAGCAACATACACCAGAGCTGGCAGGTTTAAATCTGGCCCAGGCCTGCCAAACAATGACAACTACAACCAAAAAGTAGCTGGACGTTGTGGCAGGTGCCTGTATTCCCAGCTACTCGGGAGGCTGAGCCAAGAGAATCGCTTAAGCCCAGGAGTTGGAGGTTGCTGTGAGCTGTGACACCACTGCACTCTACCCAGGGTGATAGTTTGATGCTCTGTCTTGGAAAAAAAAAAAAAAGTCAGAGCTTTGTTTCCTGTAGGAAAGGGTACACTTGGTCATTTCCAGGCTTCATTATTTGAAAATTTCAGTAACAGTTGGATTGGTTATAATTCCCCTGGGAGGCAGTGCTAACCTAAGCACATGTTTTGTGTCAACACAGGAGTGTCAGGAGAGCAGGTGCAGGGAGGAAGAGTTATCTCAGAAGATGAACACTGAGGTCGAAGCATGGACACTCCAAGGGACACATCTTCAGTATATATTTCTGCCTCATCCTGGTCTCCCTGATGTGTCAGAGAGCAGCTTGGAGGAGGAGGCCACCTGGGGGGCTAGCAGCTACCCCATCAGCTGGCAGGATAGGCCATGTAGCATTTCTTCTCTCTCCCTTAAGATAGATTAAAATTTTTTTTTTGATAGAGTTGGGATATCTTGCTCTGTTGCCCATGCTAGTCTTGAACTCTTGGCCTCAAGTGATCCTCCGGCCTTAGCCTCCTGAAATCCTGGGATTATGAGTGTGAGCCACAGCACCCAGTCAAAAAGCCAGATTGTTGACCCTGCTGTATCCTGACCTGTCTGGTGATGATTACTGTGAATTACTACGCTGTTCAGGTTCCTTCTGTTGGTCATGGAGGCTTTGAACTAGAATCTGGCCATTAGATGATGATCATCATCACCCGTGTTTGAGCTGATGCCCCAGGATCCCCTTGATTCTTCACTGGCTCTTCCACAGAGGGTCCTTGGCCAATGGGGTGGGAGACCTCCATGTTTCCATGTTGTGCCCACTGACACTGTTTGCATTTCCCAGACCTCCCTCCACATCCAGAGCATGCTGCCAGCCCACTCTGCCCAGCCCTGGAGGAGCCAAAAGAGGTGCCAGTCCCAGAGCAGCAGGGAGACTTTGAGGCAAGAGTGACCCCAGCTGGGCCGGGCACTGGTGAGTGAGGATAGCTGAGGCAGAGGGATATAAACTGTCCCAAGGCAGCATGTGGTTATGGAAAGAGGGTGCTGAGGATCAGAGCTGGAAGCTTAGGGGTGGGAGAGATGGCTGGTCTGAGCTAGAAGGCTTCCTACGCAAGGTGCTCCATGAGACAGGCCCACAAGAAGGTAGGTTTGGGCATTCTCTGCATGAGAAAACTGAGCAGAGGTGGGGGTTCCTCATACGTGCTGGGAGCCTGACAAACTGGTCTGGCTGAAGTGAGGGGATGGGTGTGCAGGCCACGTCTTGTGGATTCTGAGAGGGTCACATCAGTGGGGCCGTGTGTGTCTTGTCCTAGAATGGAGGCTTTGTGAAACAGAATCCTGTGAGGGCCTTTCCCGACACTGGATTCGTACAGGGTGACCCAGCCAGCCATGATCCCTCCCAATTTTTCCGTAAATGTCCTCTTCCTGAAGACCTGTTAGGAACTCTGGCTTTATTCATCCCTTCAGAGGTCTAAAGGCAATTGATGCCCGTCATGTCACAGCAATGTGTGACTCAGAGGGCACTTGGTGTTATTTTTGGCCAGGCCTCCAGAGAGCCTTGTCTCTGTACCCTTGTGAGCTTTGCTGGCCTGGATTCTAGCCACTTCTTGTGCTGACTTGATGTTCAGCCTCTGGCTGCTTTCTCTCCAGCAATTTCAGTATATCTCCCCCACTGAATGTGACATTCCATAGGCTGGGGGTGACATCCCTTCCCTTCCCTGTGTTCCTCCTTCCCAATTGGTATGTAAGTTTGGGCTCTGCTCTTGGAGTTGGACTGATGGGACCTTCTCAGGTGGGAAGGTAGTGTCTCTGTCCCATTGCAGATCTGGAGCTGTGTCCTGGAAACTCCCCAAACTCTTTGTCCTTTAGAGGCCTACAGTGGTGACAGATGGTGAGGGCTAAGTCGTTAAAACTGGCCTGCAATGGGGGTGGGGAGCATGGTCTTCATAGCTCTGTCACCTCTGAAGGTCTCTTAAACAGAAGCCCTCTGGCCTCCTCTCACTGGTACTTGAGCATGTCTAGGGCCTGCTGGGGACATGGCTGGGTCACCCTGTAGGAATCGAGTGTTGGGAAAAGCCCTCACAGGATTCTCTCTCACAGAGCCTCCAGCCAGCACCAGCGTTTTGTCCTTGATTAAACAGGAGGGAGAGTCTTCAGATAGGGAGTCACCAACCTCCCCTCCCAGGGACATCCTGCCCTGCTTGGAGCCAGGTGAGTTCAGGGAGGAGGTACCTTTCGCCATGGCAGTGCCTCACAGGTGCTCAGGGGCCCTTTTGGAGCAGGATGGGTCAGGGAGGGCACCTGAGAGGGACTTCCTTCTGAGGGTTCCCTCCCTCAGTCCCTAGCTATTCCTTCTGGACTTGGGGACCCAGATCAGTTTGTGGTACTATCTTTCCCCATCAAGGTCTGGCCTGGGTGGAAAGGTATGGTGTGCTGGGTTTGCAGTCTGATGACGATGAGAAAGCCACTCACATGGTCTTGTCCTGGCTCATAGCCCTGTAAAGTGGCCAGGTTGCAGTCCCCTGTGGCTTGCAGAGTACATGTGTGGCCTGAGATGTGATTGAGGTCCCTGTGCCTAGAGTCTGTGCTCTCCTGACAGAGCTTGGCACCAGGAGCCTTCCTTCCTAGTGGTAGGAATCCCAGGGAGCTGTCTGGTGTCAGCCTGTCTTCCACTGCCCTATCCTTGCAGCACCTATGCCTCAGTCTCCCTCAGAGTCAAGTGAGGCCCAGTCTGAGGTCCTGGTGCCTCTGTCATCTGTAAACTCAGTGCCAGGCCTGCATGCCCTGTGTGGTTTATTGTGTGGATGAGTAAATTTGGGTAAGTTACTCACCACTTCCAGGCCACGGGGGCCTCTTAGCATAGTCTGGAGCAGCAGGGCCCACAGGGCTCCTTGCCTTTCATGCATGGTAACCTTGTCATCAGAACTTGGTGGTGGTGGGGGGTTCCTGTCAGCACCTATGTGGTGCCACGTGTCTCACCCTCCAGGGTCTCAGCCTCCGTGTCTCCACTTCATCTTCCCACCCATCAGTCTCTGCTATGGCTGACTGCTGACCTCCCTGGCTCCCTGGCTTCTGGTTGGCAGCTTGGTGTCCTCTCTCCTGATGTCCTTAGTTCAGGCAGCTTCCAGGAATGAGGCAAACAGGACTGAATGAAATCACCAGGCAGTGCCTGTATGCTGTGAGCACTCAGGACAGAGGATTCTGGAGAGGCAGGAGCTGGGCTAAGCCTGGAAGCAAGGATTGGGGACAGGGCAGTGCGGTCTACTTGGAAGCCAGTGTGGATTCCTTTTGCCAGGTGGTGGTGTGGCCATCAAGACGGAGACACAGTCTGAAGACGAGATGATGCCGGAGCAGCTTTTCCTGGGGGCATCCTTGAGCCAAACCGAATGTAGAATCCCTCAAGGGCCCAGAAGTAGGACTAGGGGCCCCAGCAGGCATCATGCTGAGGGTGTGCCCAGGGTGCAGGTGCGAGTGAGGGACCCACGGCCACCAGGGGCTGTGGGGGAGCCGCCACGAGTCCTCTCTCGCCGCCGAGAGCGGGCCTTCCCCTGCCCTGACTGCGGGCAGAGCTTCCGCCTGAAGATTAACCTGACGATTCATCAGCGGACCCACGTGGAGGAAGAGCATGGGGAGGCCCGGAGCAGCTCGCCCACCGGGTGGAGGGAAGGCCACGGTGCCCTGGAGCCGGGAGAGGTGGTGGTCCCCGGCCCTGTCATCCGCTGGCTCCCTGAGGTGCCTGAGGGCCACCGCTCCCTGGCTGGCCGTGCCTTCATGGGGCGGAGGCCGACAGCTACCAAAGTGTACCACTGCAGCGAGTGCCTGCGCTTTTTCCAGGAGCGGAAGAGCCTGCTGCTGCACCAGCGCCTGCACACGGGCAATAGCCAGGGCTGGCCTGCCTGTCCCTACTGCGGCAAAGCCTTCCGCCGGCCCTCGGACCTCTTCCGGCACCAGCGCATACACACCGGCGAGCGGCCCTACCAGTGCCCCCAGTGTGGCAGGGCCTTCAACCGGAACCACCACCTGGCTGTCCACATGCAGACTCATGCTCGAGGCCAGGCGGGCCCACACTTCCTCACTTCCTCTGCCCACCGCAGGAGCCCACCCCTGCCCCACCACCCTAGCCACATGGAAGAGGGCTGACCAGGCAGGTTCTGGGCTCTGTCTGTGGGGCCTTTCATGCTGCCTGGCTCTGCTTCCTTATCTGGGATGGTTTGGAGACAGTGGGTTTTTGTTTTGTTTTGTTTCCATTCAGATGGGAAGCTGGGGTGCTTTTGGTGACAGAGTGATGTGTATGCCTAGACTCCATTTCCTGTTTTCTAAGTTTGCCATTCTTTGTGGCCTTTTCTACATTCCTAACTTATAAATGGTTCCTTAGGGCTTAAAGAATGCCAATTTTTGGTTGGGGGTCTGGCAGGCACCATAGCTAATAGGATCAGAGATCACAGCCTATGATAGAGACACTGGGGATCTAGGACATTGATTTTTGTGCACAGAGATCTTTTGCCTGCCATCAGCATGAGAGACCACATAGTGGACAGCCTGAAGAAAAGGCATTGTAGATTGAGTTTGCTACTTTGTCATTTTGAATTATTTTTTCCTTCTATGGAGCCTTTCTAGTGCTTTTGTGATGTTGTGTGTAGTTGTGAAGGGAACCAAGAGCTCCCGAGGGGAAGGAATCATTCTGCCCCCTCTTCCATGTGTGGGGCTGGCAGGGCTGGAAGAGATCAGTGTCTACGCGCCTGTGGGTCTTGATGGAGAGACCTAGGCTGCTGTTCTGGCAAGAAAGTGTCTTAGCAGGTATGTTTTCTGCCCAGAGTGAGGCCCAGTCTTCCTAGTCCTTCCGCTATTGCAGAGGAATATGCATTATTGACTTTTGTTACCAGTTGTGAGGGGGGTGAATAACACTTCCCGCCGCCAGGGGTCTCAGCATTCATGATGTGCAAGGTCTGTTAGCTAGACCCCAGACACTCTGGGGGTAGAGGATGCAGAGCACCTAGGAAGTTCTTCCCCAAGAAGACCCTGGGCTGGGTGAGGCTGGTCAGCTCTCCAGGCCTGCTTTGTCCCATTAAGGACGCGCTGCCTCCCCTTCAAGGTGTTCTCTGAGAAATCCAGGCTCTGAGGCAGAGTTGAGCAGGGAGATTTGGGTGAATCCTTTAACCACTGTTAGTCTCATGGTTCCTGTTAAAAGGGGTCATGGCCCTGGTGTGTCCTACCTCACCTTAGTGTTGTCAGGGTCAGATTTAGAGGCACTGGGACAAACATGAAGCCTAGTTTTTTCTCTTCCATGTTGGTCACCAGCCCTTTCCTGTCAGAATCCCTCAGGAAGCATCTTTATCTTCTGGAATGAGTGGGGGTTCTGCTGGCTTTAGTAGAATCCTTTCCCTGTGGGCTATGTTCTCCGAGACCTCTTTGTATTTCAATCAAATACTTATCAAAGCACAAGGTTCAGACTAGAAGTTCTGGCAGCGTCAGGCTTCATGGAGACTTGAGGACAGTTAGCTTCTTGTGACTTAATAATGTTATGCAAGTGCTGCCTCCAGAGTGGCCCTGGTCTGCATGATTCTGCAGCTGGAGGGATGGATCCTTGGCAACCCTGATAGGTCACTGTCTTCTCTGGCACTGAGAGGTGACGACATTGGGGGCTGCTTCTGAGGACCTGGGTCCTTTCCTGTTGCCCTCCTGCCACTCAGAGCTTTCCTGAAGTCTTAAACAGAGTTGGGGCAATAATATTGCCATTTCTGGGGTGAGGGTAAGTATCCCACAAATCAGCCAAGCTCCCTTGGTTTTGGAAAGAAGAGACACCATCCTTCCGGGCTGTGGATCCTACCCATCGGACTCAGGTGAAAGGAGGCAAACGCCCTCTGCAAACCACGAATTGCTGGCCCCTAGTGGGCTCTTCCCCCCCCCCCCAAAACATTCAATGTGCAGCTCTGAGGTAGGCTTTGGGAGTTTGCCTAGCCCTCAATAGAATATATTTAAAGAACATTATTTACATCAAAATGAGTCAATGGAAGCTTGGGAGTGCAGGAACATAGCGGTCCTGGACTGGGAGGTGGGAGCCTTGGGTCCCAAACTCTCCCAGATCTGGGCTTAGGCTTCCTCTTTTGTGAAATAAATAGCTGGGTCATGACATGAAAAGCCCTGCAGAACTGTGAAAGCTGCAGTTTCTTACCCTAATTGGTGCTCAATAAACATGATGGCATAAGTGAGTGGTGCACGTGACCCGGTTCCTGCTCTCGGGTGGTGAGCGGCTGTACAAGGCAATCACAGCTGGCAAAGCCCGTAGGCTGAACTCCTGCCGCTCACCCCAGGGCGCCTTCGCGGGTGAAGGTAGCCGGGCACTCGCGCTCGCGCCTGCTGGGCACCCTTAAGGCCAAGGCATACTCATTGTGGGGCGTGGTCTCCTGGCTGGCCAATGGGGCGCCGCCCCTGGGCTGCAGGGCGGGGTGCGGGGGTGGGGCCTTCAGGGCCAGCCAATGGAAATCTGCCCCTGGCTTGCGGGGCGGGGCAGGGCCCAGCTCGCTACCCGGGGATTGTGCTGGCCGCGCGCAAGTCTGCGCAGCTACACCGCCGCCGCCGCCGCCGCCGCTGTCCAGGTTTCGTCTGCTTGTCCCGACGGCCGGGTCCGTTTGGGGAAGAGCAGGCTGAGCCGGCATCACCCGTAGAGGGTACCAGGAGGACAGGTCTGCATGGGGCCGCCCGCAACAGTGACAGTGACTCCTGGGCCGGGCTGGACAGCGCTGGGCCATGGCCGAGGCAACCGCGGCTCCGGTAAGGGTGGTTCTCCCAGAGGGCATGGGGACGTGGAGCTGAGTCCTGAACTAGCCAGGACAATGTCCTACTCCTCACCCCGCGCCCTGCCATCTCTGAAACTGGGGAGGGCTCAGTCTGGGTGGAGAGAGGACTAGGACGCCCAAGGCCACATGGTAAAAGTCCCTTCTCCATCCTTGGTCCCAGTTTCCTCCGCTGCATGATAAGGCTATTTGACTTAAGCACAAAATTTCTTAGGTTCCCTCCAGCCCTGATACTCGCAGGATGCGGCTTTGTGGATCCCGGCGTTGGGGTCATGGACTGTGGATGTCCTTACTCCAGAGACTGCAAGGCACCTATTTCTGGTTCTGCCCTTTTGGCACCTCCAACCCCTAGTTGGCCATCTCCTCTTTTCTAAGTTAAGACAGGTGCCATCCTCTGAGGAGGGTATATTCACTTCAGTCTGGGTTCTTAGCTTCCTCTGGTGGAGTCAGAGTCTTGCCTCTGGCTCTGAGAATTTTTCAGAACTGAGCCCTGATTCCAGTCAGGTTGGGTTTGGGTGCCTGCCCACTGTTTTCCAGAATTCCCAGTGAAGCCCGCCCTACTGCTGCTGAGAAGAGATCTGCATTGTTTTTTTGTTGTTTTAAGATGGGCTTGCTTTGTTGCTTACGCCAGAGTGGCACTATCATCGCAGCCTCCAACTCCTAGGCTCAAATGATCCTCCTGCCTCAGCCTCCTGCTAAGATGGGAGTCCAAGCTCGCATCACCACATCTGGCTGGATGTGGTTTGTAGAGGATTTTTGGTTAGTGGGTTTCAGGCCTAGGCTTGACTTAATCCGTCCCTGAACTGTGTGACAAGAATTGTGGAGATGAGATTTTGTTTGTTTTGTCTTTGAAGGTGGAGGGATCCCCTGGTAGAAATAGCTTTGTAGTAGTTTCAGATACATCCTATGATGCCTAATTTGTGGCAGGGCATTCCTGGGAGTTAGGAATGTTTGCTCCCAATCTGTGGAAGTCACCTCTGCTTCTTCCAGGCTATACTTTTTGTATTGGCCAGAGGCCAGGTTCAGGAATGGAGAGATTGTGCAGGGAGGGAAAGAAGGAAGAGTTAGGCATCTGGTGACTAGTCCCTAGTATGTGGGCCACTTTCCTGAGTTCTTTTTTCAGGGAGGTCTTGGAGAAATTCAGTTGTACAAAATTGGATTAACACAGTCTTTTGTTCATAACATATTGTGATCATTGAGCCATGGCCCTTATTTTTTTTTTTTTATAATATAGTATGTGCTAATGTCATACACTCTGAGTGCTTTCCCATACTTTTAGTGCATTTCATCCCCACAACCACTTTAGTCTTAAGTGAAAAATAGAACCTTGGGGAAGTTATGTGGCTTTACTTCAAATTGCACAGGACTCAGATGGCAGGAGACACAATGAGTTAAGTTCTGGTAGAGTGCATTTGCAGGGGTGCTCCCTTTAAACCTCAGTTGTTCCTCACTGAGGCATTCCTGGCTTTTCAACTTTATTTCTGGTAATATATGATATATTTTTCTACCTTTTGTGGGCAGGATAGTCTTTTTTTTTTTTTAATTGAGACAGAGTCTCACTTTGTGGCCCTTGATAGAGAGTCATGGTGTCATAACAGCAACCTTTAAACCCTTGGGCTCAAGCGATTCTCTTGCCTCAGCCTCTCAAGTAGCTGGGACTACAGGTGCCTGCCACAATGCCCGGCTATTTTTTTGTTTTAACAGGCCTGGGCTGGGTTCGAACCCAGCAGCTCTGGTGCATGTGGCCGGCACCCTACCCACTGAGCTACAGGCACCGCCAGGATAGTCTTTGAAATATTTCCTTATTCTACTGTTTTATTACTCATCTCTCCTTGTTCTGCTTTTGGGCTTTCTCTGGCTTCTGCTGCCTGGCAGCTAGGGCCTAGTCTTCTAGTGGGGAGTCTACCTGGGGCTGGTCGACAAGGCACCTGGGGCACAGGGACCCAAGGCAGGAAGTCACACACCAGTAGCTTGTCTCTTGGTCTTAGAGATCACCAAGGCCAGAACAATAAGGTCTCCCTCCCCTCTGAGCCCACTTGGGATCAGGTTTTGTATAACTGAATTTTCCCAAGACCTCCCTGAAAAAAGTACTCAGGAAAGTGCCCTACATCCTAGGCACTAGTCACCGGATGCCTACCTCTTCCTTCCTTCCCTCATAGCACAGTCTCTGTATTCCTGAGCCTGGCCTCTAGCCAAGGCCCATGCTGATTTTGTGAGGACCTTTTTTACCTGTGGTGTCAGATATCACAAAAGTATGCCCAGACCTTTTTTTGATAATCAGTTTTTGTTAGTATTTGTGTATTTAATATGTGGCCCAATGTATCTCTCTTCGTCCAGTGTGAGGCAGAGAGAAAAAAAGTTGGACACCACTGCAAGAAGGTGAGGGCTGAGATTGTCACCTGGGTGTGCCCAGGGGCAGGCCCTTGGAGCCCCTGGCATGTGTTCTGGCTTTGGGTTTCTCACCATTTCCTGGCTTCTGCTTCTGGGCTGTGGTCCCAGGTTGGTTTAGTAACTGGATAAGTAAATAGGTAGTGGAGCTGGAGTTCTACCCGCTTTCACTCTATGTCTATGATGGGAACGTTTGTTATTTTCTGTTGCCCCCAGGTCTTGGTTCAGGATTCTCCTCATGGGGGCTTTGTGGGATCTGGTGTCTGCTGCCTTTGACTATCTTTTGGGTGGGATCTGTCTGGGGCTCTGACTAGTCAGGTCTCTGGCACCTGGAAGAAGTGTCCCTCCCCATCCCACATGACCCAGGCTTTTCTGAAGCCGGGAATGGCTTTGGGCTCCTTTTTTGGTGGCTGATCCACCTTCTTGGGCAGGGGTCCTCAAACTTTTTAAATAGGGGACCAGTTCATTGTCCCTCAGACCGTTGGAGGGCCAGACTATGGGCCTGGGATGAGTTGGTTGCTAAGCAGGACAGGCAGCGGTAGCAGAAACACCTGGCGGGCTGGATAAATGTCCTAGGCGGGCTGCATGTGGCCTGTGGGCCATAGTTTGAGGACGTCTGTTCTTGGGTTTAGTCACAGGACTAGTGTATGAAGACTGATCTTCAGCAAGAGGCCCAGATCCAGTCTGCTGGGATCTCCCTCCTGGCCATCTTGGCTACTATTCAGGCCATGGAGAAGAAGATGGAATCTCAGGTTGCCCAGCTCCAGAATCTGGAGGGGCTCACGGGGACAGCTGAGAAGACGGCTGTGGAGTTTGGCAACCAGCTGGAGGGCCAGCAGACCATCCTGGGGACCCTGCTGCAGGAGTACGGGCTGCTGCAGAGGTGGCTGAGAACGTGGAGAACCTACTGTGCAACAGGAACTTCTGGGTCCTGCGGCTGCCCCCGGACAGCAAGGGGGAGGCCCCCAAGGTATAGGAACTGGGTATGGTGGAGAGAGCCCCTCAGCTACTGAAGCCTGACCCCTGAGCACCTAATACCAGTGACCAGTTGACTTCCAAGGGCTTGAAATATGTCAGAAGAAAACTGTGATGCAGGGAAGATGTCTGGTTTGGCAGGTGGAATGGGGTTTGTTGAGAGGGATACTTCTTATTCTGGAATGATCTCAGTAAGGACCAGCTTGAGTAGGGGAGATCACCGGAAAGCCCTGCCATGAAGCCCACACTTGAATCAGAAAGTAGATGTGTCCTAGAGAAGGGAGGAGAACTCAGGAGCCCTGATCCCCTTAGCTGACGGAAATGTGGGAATGAGTTTGTGTCTGCACAGTGGTTGGGCTAGCAATGCCTTGGGGTTGGAGGAGAGGAGAGGAGAGTGGTTTGGGCTGTTCTTTGTAATGGCTGTAACTCATGGGCCTGGGTGACCTATACTTGCAGGTGACCCCGGGAGATGCAGCCATGTACTTTTCAGAGCAACAGGGGGGCGGCCTGGAGGCTGGCAGAAGGAGCTCAGTATGGACTTCATGGAGGAGAGCTGTGAGGCCTGGGGCTCCCTGGGTAAGAGGTTGGCCCCAAGCCTTGGTTTTATTCCTTTGTTTAACCAAATTAGACTTGGATGTGAGAGTGGGAAGCATGTGGAGATTATTTAATCAGGCCTCTGTCTTTGGGCAGGTGGAAGGTATCCTTAATCACTTTAGGTTTATGAATGGAAGCATAGGTTAAATGACTTGTCCATGAATACAAATGGAATCTGCTTCTCAGTCCTGCCCTTCATGTGGTGCCAGAGGCAGCTCTGCCTTGCCACTCTGTTTCCTTTTGGGAAACAGGCTCCCCTACCTTTTATTTGAACTCTGAGCTGTACTCTGTACACTGTGAGTTCTTGAGAAATTTGTGATTGATTAGGCTGTTTTTAAGGGTGCCCTGAGTCTGGAAAATGGGGGCCAGCCCTGGAATGTTAGGTTCTGCAGGCAGGGGTGTGTGCTGCTTGTGTAAGATCTGATTAGAACTGGATTTTTATAGCTACGCCCCTCCTGTGCTCCCCTGTTGCACACCTGAGTCCTCGCCTTGCTTTGGGCAGGTGAACAGTTGGCATATTGTCCATTCTCCCCTTGTTGGAGGCTGAGCCCTAGAACAAGGTGTCTTGCTTCCCTTTCCTTGGCCCCAAATGTTTCTCTTGTAGAAGAGGTTACCAGTATGCTTCAGGTGAAGGAGGCTACCTGGCCTTCAGGGGGCAAGGGTTAGCATGCAGAAGGAAGGGCAGCAGGGGAAACTGTTTCCCAATCCCCATGAGGTGGCTGGACTGGGCGACTGGGTTCCTGTCTGTGTAGTGGGATGTGCTCCCTTCCTCTGGGCCTTGTCACTCTTGTGGCCTAAGAAGACTGAGCAGCCTTGTTCCAGCCTACACTCAGTGACCCTTACACATACCTTGAGGAGGGAGTGGGTCCTGGTCCAAGCCTGTCGGAACATTCTCTTTTCTGGGCCAGTCATTACCTTCTTCTCCCTGCAGGCTGTGCCGTCACCAAGCCAGAACTCTTGACCACAGTGGCGAGGGGAGACAAGGCAGGCAGCCATGGCCTGTCTAGCGCAGAACGGGCTCAGGGCCCTGGTACTGGTGAGTCCCTCAGAGTGGGGATGGGCTGGGGCTTCTCCACCCTCACCTGACATCTAGTATCACGAATCCCTACTTGGAGCAGGAAGCAGAGGTGAGGAAGTAAGTTATTGGCATCACAGCTGATGTCAGGCCAGGCCTAGCTGTTCTGATGCCAAGGAGATGCTCAGGCCAATTCCCATCACCCATGTCACTTGGGAGTCATTACTATGGCCTGAGACTATTCTGGCACTTGTGGGGAAGGGCAGAGAGCAGTGCAGATACCAAGGAACCTGGGTTTGAGAAAGGCTGTCGGAGGCATTCGGAATGCTGAGAGACAGGGGCTGGAGGCCAGCCTCCTTCCCAGACCTTCCCTGCTTCCCTGCACTTGCGTGCGCAGGGCCACCTCACTCTGCAGTCCAGTTCCTGTTCCCCTCTGGGCTTCCCTGTCCTCAATGGGAGGGACTGGGTCTTGTTGTAATACCCTTGCCCCAGTACCCACATATCGCCTGCAGGTATTAGGATGGCAAATGATGGATAGTAGGTGAACAGAAACAGAATAGGAGCTTGGTTTTCTTTATCTTCCAAATAAACGGTATTGAATCAGAATGCAATTTTCAAAGCTTTTTTCTTTTTTAAGGTGAATAACCCTTTATTTAGATGACAGTTGGAAGCATATAACAGAGGGGACAGTGGGACTACTCTTATTGAAGCAAGGGACAGGAATGCTGGATCCCCATTTGCTCAGACAAAATGGATCATGCCATGACCCCACTTCTTGCTTACTAGATTCTTACATTTTATTTCAGAGGCTCCCATTTGAAATAAGTTCTCTGAGTAGGTATGTTAAATCACAGTAAGCCCAGAGCAGGGAAGGAGGTGGGTGATGACAAGGGTTTTGAGTGGCTGGCAGGTAGGACTGAGATATTTTCAGGTAGGGGGTGGGGGTAGCACAGAGAGAGCAGGGCAGTAAGTTGAGGAGCTGTGCAAGGCAGGATGGGGGTGGCAGCTGGAGCAGCGTGTTGAGCCCACTGGGGAGCAAGAGGAGTGGGCTCTGTGGTGCCCCTAAGTGCTGTTACTGTAGGGCCCTGAGCAGGGCTTCTTCCCCTGTGGCTCAGGGAGGGGAGCTGGGCCCTGGAGCTGCAGCCTCTCCAGGGCCACCAGGCTGAGCCCCATCAACATGTATGGGCAGAACTGGGGCCGGCTCAGAAGTTACGGTGGGTACAGAGCAGGCGGGGTGAATCTGGTGTGAGCAAGCCTGGCATGTGGAGGGCTGAGGCAGGCTCCAGGTTTGCTCTAGGGGTGGGGAGTCCTTATTGTTGTGGCACTTCCTCCCATGTCCTCTGTCCAGATTCATCAGGAGGGAACTTTGTGAGAGACTAGCCCTCACTCAGGGACTGCTTCTACACCCTCTGCTGAAAACCTGCAGACCCCAATATGGGTACAAGACCACTTCATCTGCTGGGGGCTCCTCTGCCAGTGTTCTAGGAAGGAAATGGGATCCTCACCCAGTGGGTCCTGCTGGGACACTTTCAGCATGCTTCTCAGAGGATTCTGGTGTGGTCAGAGTTTGAGAACCAGGGGTCTGTGGGACTGGGACTGACCAGCCTCTGGACTTTGCTAGTATCTGTGTTTTGATTATGCAAATATATTCTTATAGGAGCACTTTCTTACTAGGCAGTACTGAGGTCATGGATAAGGCTAAAGGTTCTCTCTCCTGGCCACCTGCCCAGCCCTGCTCCCCTCCCTGCTCCCCTCCCCACAGTAGCCATTGTTACCATCTTTCTGCATAACATTGCAGGCTTCTTATGTATTATGCGTGTGTGTGCACTGTAGAGGAATATGGGGTTCAACACATGGGTCAACTGTGTGACTTCTGCAGCTCACTCTTTTCTCTCAACTCTGTCTTTTTTTTTTTTTTTTTTGAGACAGAGCCTCAAGCTGTCCCCCTGGGCAGAGTGCCATGGCATTACAGCTCACAGCAACCTCCAACTCCTGGGCCCAAGCGAGTCTCCTGCCTCCACCTCCCAAGTAGCTGGGACCACAGGCGCCCGCCACAATGCCTGGCTATTTTTTTTGGTTGCAGCCGTCATTGTTGTTTGGAGGCCTGGGCTAGATTCGAACCCGCCACCTTAGGTGTACGTGGCTGGCACCTTAGCCACTTGAGCCACAGGCACCAAGCCCAACTCTGTCTTAAGGATCTTTTTGTGTTGGTATATTTTGAGTGACTTCCCCTCTGAAGCCTGGGCTGACCACATGGTAAGAACTTGGTTTCCAGGGCCCTGGTCCATCGTGGAGCCAGCCCGATGTGTGGCAGCCAAGCACTACTGTGTCAGCAGTGCCTCATGTACAAGGAAAGGACCGAGTTCTGCCCCTGACCTCCTGGGTAGATACCAGGCAGTGCTGAGCAGTGTGGATATCTGTGAGGTTTTGGTGATTTGGAATGTTTTTCATTCATTCATTTCTTGAACAAAAATTGCACCTACCCAAGTCTGGAGAAGGAATTATTCCCTGATCTTAAAATGGGTATTAGGGATGGGTACAGATTGGTGACATCACTTTCCCCTTGAAGCATGCCTACCCAAGAGCACCATAGATACGTGTTTGGCTGCTGTAACAGACTGGAAAAAAAACAAAGCAACAGAACAGTAGCTTAAACAAGGCAGTGGTCGGTTTCTCGCTCCCAACAGGACTCGTTTGACACTCACAGACTCAGACTCCTTCTTTCTGTTCTACCCTTTCTAGGGCATGACCTTGTTACTGTAACTATTAAGAAGGAAGTAGGGAGGAAAAAGGGGATGCCCTTTCCCTCTAAGGACAACACATGTACTTCTTGTTTGATAAATACACATTTAATAATTATTATGTGCTTCATAAATATTGACCTACTTATGCCAATTGTAACCTTTTATTTCCTCATGATATAGATGAGGAAACGGAAGTGCAGAGAGGCTGAATAAATTAATGTCACGTGGCTAGAGGAGGCAGTGCCCCTCACTTCCTGTTAGACTGGCCACATGACACATCTGCTTGTTGGGAGGCCCAAAAACATGGTTGGTATTCTAGGTGGTCACGTGCCTGGCCAGGCACAAAGTGCCCTGTTAGCACTGAAGGAGGGCAGGAGGCTGCTGGACAGTGCTGACTGTCCCCATCACGGCTTGCAGCCACACACTCCCCAGCTTGACTCCCACCATGTGAGACATTGGTGGTCTCAGCAGCCCCCAGTATCTGCTCTGCCTTTGCTGGGCCTATACCATGGGGAGTCCCCTGTGGGGTCTGCCCCAAATTGGTGGGAAAGAAAGGAGCCCCATGATATCTGATATTTTCAGGGCCTCTTCTCTCCCTAGGAACAGTCCAACTGGCATCTCCCCCAGGAGTTGGAACGTGGGTCAAAC